ATCCCAGGACCCTGGGATCATGACCTGAGCCGAAGGCAGTCGCTTAACCAACTGAGCCACCCAGGTGCCCCTACCTTTATCTTTCTATACATTTTCCTGTATGAAATAGTTCATAACAAGTTAGCCTTATCCCAGGAATATTTAATGTCAGAAAATCTACCACTAGAATTTATTATGTAAATAGGTCAAATGAAAACAGCTTGAAATATGAAAATAGTTTGATAAAATTTAGTATTTTTTATTGATAAAAGATACCTTTCTTTGTTGTTTTCCTATATATTCCTATCATAACCTTTGCACAGTGCAACTGCCTACCCACTGTTTGCACTCCCTACCCCCATGGACCGTTAGCTCTGACAGGGTGGGCACCAGGAGCATCCTATTTACCACAGACTCCTTATTGACTACTATGTGCCTGGCAAAATGTACCAAACAATATTCAGTTGATAGCTAACTTGATTTGTTGACTGACTGACTAATAATATAAAAGTCTTACAAAAAGCAAGAGATATATGCACTAAAACTGTATCAGTGAGTTAATATTTGGGTGGTAGATTATGTTGACATAGGGCAAATTACTTAACCTCACTATTCAAAAATGTCCTAATCTGTGCAATGAGGAAAATAATACTTTGAGTATAAAGTCTTATAAGGGGGTGCCTGGGTGACTCAGTCTGTTAAGCATCTGCCTTCAGCTCAGGTCATGATCCCAGGGTCCTGGGATGGAGCTCCACATTGGGCTCCCTGCTCAGTGGGAAGCCTGCTTCTTCCTCTCCCACTGCCTCTGCTTGTGTTCCCTCTCTCACTGTGTCTCTCTCTGTCAAAATAAATAAATAAAATCTTCAAAAAAAATAAAAAAATAAAGTGGCTACTAAATAGGGAAGCCACTCATGCTTCCCTAAAGTTTCCATTATTGTCATTATTACAATGAAAAGGGTTTTAAAAGTAAATAAAAAATAATTTTAAAAATGTATACACACATATAAGGGCTGACCTTTCAAGAATTTTCACTGCCTATTTTTCAGAAATCTGTATACCTATTAAGTCGAGAGCATCAATAATTTCTGAAGTATCAATCACTCCTTTAAAGGAACAAAGAAAATAAAGATTAACTGGAAGTTTTGAAAAGATACAGAGGCAGAGTTAAGTAGTATTCACTGCATTGTTGCAACATTTCATAAGACATTAATATCCCAATTATTTCTTTTACTTGCCAAGATAAAAAGAAGAGACTAGAGAGCCCATATGATATTTCCTGTATCAATAAATAATACTACCACCCTCCAATGTTGCTCAAACCAATTGTTCTTGCCTCTCTCCTTTCCTTCACCAATTTCAATCACCAAATGTGATCTGTTCTATGCGTAAACATCCCCCAAATTATTTATTCCCATCACCACTAACCCTGTGTAAGCTTAGACACCAATCAATGCTCCATACAAATATTATGGTGCTACTCCTCCTACTGAAAACTCTTCAGTGGCCCCCCCACCTCATTCCCCCAGGGATCAAGTCCAGAAACCTTCACAGACCTCAAGGACCTCCATGATCCTGCCCAGGCCTGCTTCTTAGCCGCCTCATCTCTGAAACTTCCCCTTGCTCTCAGCCTCCACCTCACTGGTCTTCCCCCAGTTCCTCAGACATGACCTGCTCTCCTGCTGTGACCAGTCTCCCAGCAAGCCATTTTTCCTGCCTGGAACACTTTCCCACTCCTCACTAAGCTAACTTTCACTCATCTTTCCAGATTTGGCTTACCCACCATTGCTACATGGAGCTTCATGTAAAAACCTTATCAAAATGTTATAAATATCTTTTAGATATTTATATTGTTCAAGGGAAAAAGCATATTGTTCAAAGGGTACAGGCTTTTTTGTTGATGGTTGTTATTTTTGAAAGATAGTATGCAAATAAAGATTACATCGTTAAAAAATATTCCTTAGAAGTAATAACAGTCAAACAAATGACAGGATTAAATAAATGAATTTTTAATAACCTTTCATGGAAGCCAAATATCAAATAATAAACCTCTACTAAAACATGGCTAATTCTTGGCTACACATGTTTGCTCACTGTATAGAGACATACCATCATTATTTGTGTCCAAACTCTTAAAAATCAACCTCATTATCTTCTCATTATCTTTAAAGTACTGCATAAATGTGTTAAGCTTCAACAGATTGCATGCGTTAATATCAACAGATTTTAATAGTATCTATAAAAGAGAAGAAATTATATTACAGACATGAGATTCAGACAAGGTAGATTACAAGTTATAGTGTTTAAACATGTGTACATTTATCCTATATAAATTAGATATTCTGCCATAGATTATTGGTACCTTAGTCTTAGAGTAAAATTTCTAACACTAAAAACATAGAATCTTTGAGTATTGGAACTTTAAAGAAGTTTAGCAACTGACTAGTCTACTCTTCTACTCAACAATCATGCATGTATTCACTCACTCAGTAAATGCTTGAGAAAAAGAAATGAATCAGACTTAACCTCTGCCCTCAAGAAGTTTACAGGTTAACAGGGAAGACACTAGAGCCACTATGATAGAAAATGTTCAAGGTTCAATAGCCAAATTATGGAAGCAACCCAAGTTTCCTTTGATAGATGAATGGATGAAGAAGAAGTGACATATATATATTACTCAGCCATAAAAAAGAATGAAAGCTTGCCCTTTGCCACAACATGGATGGATCCAGAGAGTAGAATGTTAAGTGAAATAGGTCAGTCAGAGAAAGACAAATATCATATGATTTCACTCATATGTGGAATTTAAGAAACCAAACAAACAAACAAAAAAAAAAAAAGAGAAAAAAGAAAACTCTTAACTATAGAGAACAGAAGTGAAGTGGGTTGGGGGATGGGTAAAATAGGTGAAGGGGATTAAGAATACAGTTATCTTGATGAGCGCTGAGAATGTATAGAATTGTCAAAGCACTATATTGCACACCTGAAACTAATACAACACTGTACATTAAAAAAAAAAACTAGAACTCTTGGGAAATATGTCTACATATTTTATGAAATTCTTATAATGATAAATGTTTTATTGAAGAACAGCTAATTACATCATAAACTAAAATATATCCAAAGGAAAAAAAAGAAAATGTTCAAGGTTCAGTGGGGAATAAAGACGTGAGGGAAATCATCATAGAAGTGGCTCTACCTGAATATTTTAAAAATGAGTAGCAAAAGGTGAACAAAGATACAAGAGTGTGAGGGATGTAGCAGAGATCACTAGCTGTCCACTAAAATTCCTTCTTGCCTTCTTTGGGCACACTGCTAGATTACGTTTCTCAGTCTCGCTTGCCATTAAATATGGTCATGTGAGCAAGGTCTCACCGATGAAGAGGGAAGGTACCTCTCTAGGCCTAGCTAACAAAATCCTACATGCTCATTCCACCTTCACCAGCTGAAGGCAGATAATGATGAGAGACCCTTGAGGATGGTAGAGCCACAAGAAGAAAGGAATCCAGATCTTTGAATAACTGTAAGGTGGAGAACTGTGTCACCAACCTCAACACCTACCAAGAAATCATCTTATATACCATGCTCAGAGGCTTGGACTTTTCCCACTGACATTGTCGAGACCCTGAAGAATTTTAAGCAGGGTCATGATACAATCAGATGTATCTTTTAGAAGGGTCATCTGGTGGCAATGTGGGGGAAAAAATGGTGAGAGGAAAGGCAAGAAGACTGGTTATAAGACTGGTTACAGTGACTTAGGTGAGAGATGGTGGTGGCCTGGGCTTACCAGGATCAATAGGTAGGAGAGGAAGGGAATTGGTTATGAAATATACTGAGGAATTACATAGGACTGTGTGATGAACTGCATGTTGGGGTAAGGGAAAAGGAGGAATATAGAATGACTTGGTGGTAGAACACTTAACCAAGACTATGATCACAGGGGGAAGTGGAGAGACTCAGAAGCTGGGGCTAGCTATCCATTTGTGCATCACCCACACTAGGATGACAGTTGGAAGCTTGGAAAAGTAATCTTGAAGCCCACCTGTTTGAGGGGTGAGCCAAAAGAGAGTCCATAAAGGGATCTGAAAAGCAATAGCCAGGGAACTGAGACAAAGTGCCAAAGGAGAAAATAAAGGAGCCATCATCGGTGTTCCGTGCCGCAGAATAGAGCCCAAGAGCCAAAGTGCACAATGCAGAAGCCCTCAGTGACCTTTCACAGAGGGAAAGAATGGAGACCGAAGCTTCACCACAGAGAAGAGAAGGGATAGCTTTGTCAAAGACCAGACTACATACAGAGGAAAATGAAAGGATAATTGCTAGGCGGGGAGCCACGGCCATGGGAAGATCATTGTTATTACAGGGGGAAAGTTTGAAAATACAGGAGGAAGAAAGGGAATAAGAAAAGTTGTACTTTTCCTATTTTAAAGGAGACGGAGAGGACCTGAAGTCAACAATGTAATTGGAAGAACCAAATTTGAAAAGAAGAAACACCTCATTTCTCGAGACTAGTGGAAATAAACGGAGCATAGATGTAAATAAAGGTAAGATTATAGTCTGTGTATCAAATTTATTGAGGCTTACTAACTGCTTTAAGCTGAATAAATAATTTTAGGCATTTTTCATTTATTTGCTCCTTAATCGTCATAACAACCCTATGAGCTAGGCGCTATTATCCCCATTTTACAGCTGAGGTAATTTTACAAGAGGGCCAGAAATCTGAAGGAATTCAGTGCAGTTCACCTCTATTCACTCACTGAAGTAAAGGGCATGTTCAACTACTGGAAGAGGGGTGCAAGGAATGGCAAGGGCTGTGGCTGGGGTAGGTCAGAGTTTTTCAACCTCAACACTACTGATATTTGGGACCAGATCATCTTTTGTTTTCCTGTGCACTGTAGGATGTTTAGCAACATCCCTGGCCTTCATTCACTAGATGCTAGTATCACACATACACATACACACATGCACACATATCCCCAGCTATCAGGACCATCAAATGTCAAAAATGCCAAATGTCCCTGAGGGGCATAATCACTCCTAGTTGAGAACCACTGGGATAAATGGAATGAAGATAGAGCGGACTCTGGACAGTCTGATGAAACCTAGATCTTTATTAGAAGGGAAATGGAATATTAAAATAATGGGGCTATATTCGAGTCATGTTTGTTTTCTTGTTAATACAAAGTGAACATAGCAGAAAACCTTGGACACAGAGAACCCAGTGAAATCAATATATATTGTATATAATTAAGGCTGGCATCTGTGGTTGGGTAGGCCTCAGGGAACAAATCATCAATGTCTATAACAAAACGTGACACAGCATTATCCAGGGTATGTAGTTATCACCCCATTTCTCTGGCATGCACTTTATAAATCCCAAGAATTATGGACTTAACAGTAAATGCTACTGCCCTGATTGTCTGGACTCCATGTTGTGTGACCTCACATCCATTATTCAATTCAAGCCTACCAGATGGAAACTTATTAAATATTGTTATTTTCTCTTACTGAATTTAATTAAGTCTCCTCACAAGAAAAAGATTTCCAGAAAACCTGGTGACCCCTTCCCCTTTTCAAACACTCCCATGCTACTGCTGGGCTTCGTAGTCTCTTAGAGAAGCTTAGTAAAACACTCTTCTTTTTTTTTTTTTTTTTAACTCTAGATGGTCAGCTGGTTAAATGTACAGCTATGGAAGTGGGGCTTCTCTGAAAACACAGCAGTCAGTATTGATATCGTCATTTGTTAAGCTAAATGATAATTCTATACTATAGTGTATGGCATATTGTTGCAGTATAATATAAATGCTTCAGTGGTGTTAGGTTAAACTGAAAATACGTGGTTGTAATTAATGTGTTAGGATCAGAACATCTCCAGTTCCCTGCCTGCGGAGTAGCCAGTGCACACACAGGAAGGTCCCCAAAGGGCATGATGCAGCCCTGAGGCGGGAGCATTCTGGAGCAAACGGCTGTGTGGGCTGCATCGCCCAAACTATGGGATGCCCTTGCAGGACGAGCCATCCCAGGCTGTCAGGGCAGACCCTTGGGGTTCCCAAAAGCTAACAGAATTTGAACACAGGCCATAGGCATTTAGCTCACTGGGGACGTTTGGTTAACGTTGTGATGGTGCAAGCGGGCCTTTTAAGAGTTTTAATGGCTTGGACCCCATCGAGGCAAGATGGTAAAGTCTTCAACACATTTGCGCGTGGCAGGTCACTATTAGGAGAGAAACTTATGGAAAGTGTTCCAAGAGCGGGGCAGTTTTAAGTGAAGCAGCTCACACGGAAAGAATTTCTGAGCCTGGAGAGCTCAGGAAGGGCTGAGGGATCTTCTCAGTCCCCATCCCCAGGCCCAGCCCCACCTCCTAATGGTTCCAGTGGTCCTGCAACCTCCCACACTCTGTGCGGCCTGAACACGTCCTCGTCCTGGCCCATAGCTTCCAGTTCTTTCTGCAGTTCTGTGACGTCCACCATGCCGTTTTCGCGGTGGTCCAGCTTCCGGAAGAGCTCTTCAAAAAAGCGGTCGGATTCGTCTTCCTGGCCAGCCACTGTGGGCAACAGGAAGCCCCATATTCGGCGCAGCATGGTCACAGAGCGCTAAGGCTCCCCGGAAAAGTGGGAAAGCCCCACCGTCAGACGGAGCTGCCACCGCAGGGGACCGGGCGTCAGGAGCCTGAGAGGAACCAGTAGTGGGGGTAGCTGCCTGGCTGCCCGCAGCGCAGCAACTGACCCTGGCACGCATGCGCTCCCAAGCCTCTGGGTTCCGAGCCCGCCGGCCGGTGGGTTCCCGCCTGTTGGGCAACAGTCCTGGTTTTGGATTTGCTTCTGCCAGTCTTGGCGGGGGTTAAAGCTGCTTGGGACCACCGTTTTTGTTGTTCAAATTGATGTTTGGCCAGGGATTCCCAGACAGCACATTCTTTTTTTTTTACACTCAAAGATGCATTCCTTTATTTTGATCTCTGTAGGGTGTGGAGACAGTCATATGCCCCCCTAAATGATCTCTCTTATTCATTAGTTTATGTTGAATTTTTTTTACATTTTTTTAATTAATTTTTTTTTTATGTAGTGTTCCATGATTCATTGTTTGCGTATATCACCCAGTGTTCCATTCAATACGTGCCCTCTTTAATACCCATCACCAGGCTGACCCATCCCCCCACCCCCCTCCCCTCTAGAACCCTCAGTTTGTTTCTCAGAGTCCATAGTCTCTCAGGGTTCATGTCCCCTCCAATTTCCCCCCCTTCATTTTTCCTTTCCTACTATCTTCTTTTTTTTTTTTTAAACATATAATGTATTACTTGTTTCAGAGGTACAGGTCTGTAATTCATCAGTCTTACACAATTCACAGTGCTCACCATAGCACATACCCTCCCCAATGTTTATCACCCAGCCACCCCATCCCTCCCACTCCCTACCACTCCAGCAACCCTCAGTTTATTTCCTGAGATTAAGAATTCCTCATATCAGTGAGATCATATGATACATGTCTTTCTCTGATTGACTTATTTAGCTTGGCATAGTACCCTCTAGTTCCATCCACGTCGTTGCAAATGGCAAGATTTCTTTTTTTTTTTTTTTCTTGATGGCTGCATAATATTCCATTGTGTATATATACCACATCTTCTTTATCCATTCATCTGTTGATGGACATCTTGGCTCTTTCCATAGTTTGGCTATTGTGGACGTTGCTGCTATAAACATTGGGGTGCAGGTGCACCTTTGGATCACTATATTTGTATCTTTGGGGTAAATACCCAGTAGTGCAATTGCTGGGTTGTACGGTAGCTCTATTTTCAACTTTTTGAGGAACCTCCATACTGTTTTCCAGAGTGGCTGCACCAGCTTGCATTCCCACCAACAGTGTAGGAGGGTTCCCCTTTCTCCACAACCTCACCAACATCTGTCGTTTCCTGACTTATTAATTTTAGCCATTCTGATGGATGTGAGGTGGTATCTCATTGAGGTTTTGATTTGGATTTCCCTGATGCTGAGCAATGTTGAGCACTTTTTCATGTGTCTGTTGGCCATTTGGATGTCTTCTTTGGAAAAATCAGACAGCACATTCTTAATTCAAACTCCAAACTGATAGAGGGTAGCCCCACCGTTATGAGTTATTAGGGGAGGATTTTGTTTGTTTGTTTGTTCAGTTTTGTGCTCAGAGCCAAGGATGATAGATCAACCTCCATGGGGCCATCCCAAGCCAATTCTCTCTCTTCCCCTTATTAGGCCAAGGTTTCATCTCTCATTCCCATAGGGTTGTTGAAATCCAAACCCCTTAGAAACCAAGGGAGAAAATATTAAGACGTCTTTTTATATTTATAAAAGCAAGGGGAAAGTAAGCTTTCTAATATTTAACATGAATTGACAACTGCATGTATATATAATACTTAAATAAGTGTACACAAATTGTGGGTGGATGAATGAAGATATTTGGAACCCACCGCTCTTGTGTAATGGCATTGATCACCTGGTCAGTGGGTTAAATGAAAGATTTGATAAGAAATTCAGGAGTCTGTAATCAGTAGCCACTAAGGATTGCCATCAGAAGCACGGCTCAAGTCAAGAGAACAGACCAGCCACAGCAGTGGAGCAATGGAAACCAGCACTGAACACTTAAAGGATCAACTGATGCCAACCAGCATGCCAAGGATCTAAACGGGCGCTTTGGCCCTTAGCCCCAGTGCCACAGAAGTCACAAGTAAACGACATTAGGACCTCAGACACCCAGATTCTCTCCTTGGGAGAAAATTAGTGAGCAAACACATTTTATCCAAAAGAAATTAAATACTATCTAAAGGGGCTAATCAGTTACCAGACAGTCCAAGCATTAAAAAAAATTAGATATTTGGTTAACTTTTTTATTTATTTTTCTTTAATGCAGTGCCCTGGACCCATGTTTTTAAATTATCTCTGTGTGAACTGATACTGCTGATTATTTCCTTATTATCTCTACTGATGTTGGGGCAACAAGACAAGGTGAAAGTCAAATACTTAGGATGGCAGAGGGGCGCCCGGGTGGCTCAGTCAGTTGAGCATCCCACTCTTGATTTCAGCTCAGGTCATGATCTCAGGTCATGATATCAGGGTTGTGAGATCAAGCCCTGCGTTGGGCTCCTTACTCAGTGAAGAGTCCACTTGAGATTCTCCCTCTCCCTCTGCCCCTCCCCCCCAGTCAAATGCTCGCTCTCTCTCTCTCCCTTTCTCTCTCTAAAATAAATAAATCTTTAAAAAATTTTAAAAAAACAAAACAAAAAAAACCTAAGGATGGCAGAGCAGAAGGATGGAAAGCGTCCAAGCTCTTGATTGCATTGCTGAGCCAGTGAACCAACTCTGGAACCAGTTTCCACTGGACCTGTTTGGACAATAAAGGAATCAAACCTTTGTTGTTTAAGCCACTTTCTGCTGGGTATTCTGTCACAGCTGAAAACATACTCATAGAAAATCATAATTCACAGAATAATTACAAACTGAGGTGAGTGTAATGAAGGAGAATTGCACTCATCTCAGTTTGTAATTAGTCTATGAGAACATAACAGGGACCATAATATATACTGGGTAATGAAGGAAGGCCTCCTGAAGTTTAGGTGATATTTAAGCCAAGACCTGAAAGATAAGTAGGGTTTTGCCCATTATGAGTGAAGAAAATAGCATTCTTTGTATTTTTAACATTCCTGAGAAGAAAAGAACTTAGAAAGTTCAAAGAACTAAAAGAAAGCCACTGTCACTGGAGAATAATAAACAACAGTAAGAATGGCACAAGCTGAGATTAAAAACACAGGCCACATTAAAGATCCTGGCTTTTATCCCAAGAACAATATAGAATTATATCAGCCGGGATAAGCCAGGTTATGCTGTGATAACAAACAACTTCAGAATCTCAGTGACCTACAGGATGAATATTTCATTTGTACGTATATCCATCATAGGTCAGCAGTAGGTTCTGCTCTTGGGATGTCATTGTCTTCAGGGACTGAGGCAGCCACTATCTGGAACATCATTGGTAGCCGTGGCAAAGGGAAAAAAGAGCATGAAAAAGCAGGCTGTGGATCTTAAAGCCTCTGCCTGTAGGTGACATATTCAATTTCTCTGTTTATTTTATTGGCCAAAACACGTGACATGCTCTCCTGACTTCAGGTCCTCCCGCAGGGAAGAATGCTGAATATTGGTGAGAAATATTACAGCCTACACCAGGAACCATTTATGCATTTTTGGCAGCAGAATAACATGGTTTAATTTAACAGTGTGTAAAGATCCTGCTAGCTACTGTGAGGAGAATGAGGAAGAAAAGTCAGGAACCAGTGCAGCGAGGTCAATTAGCAATGGTCAGCTTGAGGGACACCTGGGTGGCTCAGCTGGTTAAGCATCTGCCTTTGGCACAGGTCATGATTGATCCCTGCATCCTGGGATCCAGTCCCACTTTGGGCTCCTTTTTCAGCAGGGAGCCGGCTTCTCTCTCTCTTTCTCTCCCTCTGCTGCGTGCGCTCTCTCACTCTCCTTCTCAAATAAATAAATAAAATCTTAAAAAAAAAAAAGGAGTGGTCAGCTTGAACTAGAGTGGTGGCAGTGGAGGGGAAGAGAAGCAGACAGATCATGATCATTTTAGAGGTAGAATTGAAGGAACTTTATGAAGGATTGCAGGATATGAGGGAGAAAATGATACCTGCTATAGACTGAATTTTTATGTCCCTCCAAAATTAATATTGTAATCCTAACCCCCAGTGTGATGGTATTAGGAGGTGGAACTTCGGGGAGGTATTTAGCTAATGAAGGGAACACCTCCCAATGGAATTAAGTGCCCTGATAAAAGACACTCAAGAGCTCTCTTGCCCTTTCCGCCATGTGAGGACACAGCAAGAAGGCATCTAAGAACCAGGAAGCAGGCCCTTTACTGGACACCGAGTCTACTGGTGCCTTGATCTTGGACTTCCAGCCTTCAGAACTGAGAGAAATAAATTTCTGTGGTTTATAAGCCACCCTGTCTATGGTATTCTGTTACAGCAGCATGAAGGGACTAAGACAGTATCAAAAATAACTTTTAGGTTTCCGGGCATGAGGCACCATGTAGATGGAGTTGTCAATCCCCGAGGTGCAGGAGATTGGGATTAAGATCAAGAGTTCAAACTTAGACTTGTTAAGATGCCAATGAGTCATGCAGGTGGCAAAACTGCATGCACAGCTCAGGAAAGAGGTCCAAGCTAGAAATATAAATTTGTAAGTCATTGGCATACAGATAGCTTTTAACCCTATAGGAGAGAAGAATATCACTTAGAAAGGATAGAGTAGGAAGAGGGCCCTAGACCAAGCTCTGGAAAACTCTAAAATGTACATTTCAAATGCAGGCAACAGAGCCATCATGGCTCTGTAAAGAGCTCGGGCTCAAATTCAAACTGCCTGCAATTGAATAATCTTGGGCACATGACATAATTTCTCTGAACCTCAGTTTCTTCATCAGTACCAGTTTTGTCTCAACATTCTGTTGTGAGGGTTAAGTAAAAAAAATACTCATTATGAGGCCTGGCACATAGGAAGCACTTCATAAGTGGTAGTTATTGTTAATGTTATTTTTATTAAAGGATGACTGAGAA